AGAACTCTACCAACTCATGACGCACCCGAGATCGGCTTCATCTAACGTGGCGCAAGGCTCCAAGGCGACTCTCAAGGTGTGGCATAATCGGCTTGCACACGCCAACTACGAATCGGTCAAGGAGTTGGCCAACAAAGGACTTGCGAAGGGATTCGACGTGGCCGTCGGCGACGATGAGAAGGGCGTGTGCGCGGCGTCTGTCGAAGGAAAAATGGCTCGCAAGCCATTTGGTAGCCGAACGTCACCCCTCGCTAAGGACCCGCTTGCGCTTGTTCACATGGACGTGTGTGGACCGATGCAGCATGCATCAAAGGGAGGAGTGCGGTTCCTCTTAGTGATGCTTGAAGACGCAATGCGGATGTGTTGGACCCGGCTCTTAAAGGCTAAAGGAGATGCGGCCAAGGCGATTGAAGAGTGGGCGCTCGACGTTTGCGACGACGGCAAGAAGCGGATCAAGTGCATTCGCACCGACGGTGGCGGCGAATTCGTAAACAACGAGCTTGAAAAATGGATGAAAAGCAAGGGCATTAAGCACGACGTCACGACACCCTACACACCCCAACAAAATGGAGCGGCGGAGCGGCTCAATCGCACGTTGGTGGAGGCCGTTCGTTCACTTCTTCAACACTCCAAGCTTGGGAACGAGTGGTGGGGAGAGGCGAGTGCGCTAGCGGCATGGATTCGTAATCGTGTGCCAACAAAGGTGCTACCGGGAACGACTCCGTTCGAAGCATGGACCGGAACGAAGCCGAACCTATACCGCCTACGCACCTTTGGGTGCCTTTGCTACTACCATATACCGGACCCCCTTCACCGCAAGATGCAACCGAAGGCTCGTGCGGCGATCTTCTTGGGAATTGCGCCAAACGAGCGTGCATGGCGAGTGTGGGACTTGGATGAAAAGCGCGTCGTGACGTCTCGGGATGTGGTCTTCGACGAAGACAAGTTCCCGACGAAGGAGAAACCAACTCAACAAGTCACCTTCATCCTTCCGGCACGAGAGGAGGTTGAAGAAAGTGAGGTTCCACCTCAAGTGGAGAAGGAAGCCGAAGATGGAGGGGGAGAGAACAACACGAAGAGCGTTGATGATGTCGTGGAGGTGCCACCAACCGAGGCGGCAACTACCTCCACACCTTCCTCCCTACCATTGGCCTTGACCCGCGAGCATCGTGAGGTTCGTCCTCACCCCAAGTACACCGACTATGCTACGGTAGCCGTTGGGGAGTTGGATAAGGAGAAAACGGCGTTTTGCTTCGCAACCATGGGTGATGATGAACACGCGGATTCTCTCATGGAACCACCCCCTAAAGATTCATCTCGTGCATGCTATGAGAATGTTGGATTGCACACCTAGTGGGTTGGGTGCAAGGGGGAGCGTTGGAGGTCGCGTGTGTTTAAAGAAAACGGTGGTGGGGTAGTTGTATGCCCCCAACCCACCGAATGTGTTTCTTCTAGTGCTCACGAGTTGCGTGAGCTGCAGGTTTCGAAAGGAGTGAGTTGACTTCGGAAGACCCACTCAATGGGTGCCACATGGCAACACAAGAAGAATCGAGATTGAAGAAGAATTCGGTTCGGTGAAATTCGGGTGCCGAATTTCACCCCTTCGAATTGTTACACGAATGTTCGCGATGCATCTCGTTGTGACTAGATGTTACATGCGCGACTCAATGTGTTGAGTAGCTATAAATGTGTTTGCCTTGTTTGCATGTATCATACTGAAAACCCGAATCACTTTGTACACAGTGCAACTCGACACAAATTCCAGAGAGTTTTCAGTCCTTCAACATAGAGCATAGCTTTCACGTTAATAGCCATATCTCGCTTGATACTTAGGCGATCGAGGTGATCTACGGCCCGTTGGAAAGCTAAGACAGTGCTCTACTGATTAGAACAATTCCCAGTTCCTGCCAACCAGAGGAGAGTCCTCTACAACACCACTATGTCTTTAGCCATCCATTTACTTGCTCAACTATCATCCGCGCACGTGATTGCTGCTTGTTCCAAACTGCTTGCGCGTCCGGGAGAAGCTGGCCAGGTGTTGCCCGAAAGGGCACGTAGGTGTAGTCCTTCAATCCGTAGGCCGCGTCGCTCACAATGCAGTAGTTGCTGAGCTCTCTCGCATCTCGCAATATGAATAATTTAGAAACACATTTCTAAATTTAATGATTGTGACAAGACTCGAAAAAGGGGAATGCAATAAGGAGGCATTACCACCTTATCCTTCGGCAGGTCCACAGACCTGCCACCTAGTCTCATTCAATCATCTCAATTTGAGTTGGCACTTTTTCTCCTTCCTATGGTTAGAGCTGGATCTCAACAACCCTCAGCCCTCCTTCAAGACGTTTTTGCTGCTAGACTTAACGATATGGCGAGCGGTTTTATTTCCGCTGTTAACGGACGTCCTCCCCCTCCTCGCATCAACACTCGGAGCTCAGCACGGCGCGGATTGCCTAGGCGGGAAGAAGTCCGAACTTCTAGTTCTGGGAGGGACAGGTCCCGTTCGCAGCGAAATGTATCTCGAGCTGCAGTTTCTGCTCTCGATTTAATTGGTGCCGCAACCCGCGGAACCAACCAGAACAACGACGACAATCGTGCTCCACTCGCCTCGACTGGTGCTCGAAACAATCGCCCCGACGAACGCAATCAGGACGGATCTCGCGCGAGATTCCGTGATCCTGACGGCGCGACTGACGCAGGAGGAGCAGGAAATCGCCAGGGGCGTAATGATGACGCCCATGGCTCTCGAGCCAATCGCGATGGTCCGCCCGGATTTAGAAATCCGGAAGTCAACACTGCAGCCGCGACAGCTACAGTCTCGACTCCTCGGGTCCCTCAGGCCCCCCAGGCCCCTCAGGCCCCCCAGGCCCCTCAGGCGCGCGCGTCAGGCCAGGAAAGGCACGTGCCTGAGGGACACGGAGATCGCGTGCTAGCATCAGCAGCGCGCGTGGCGAATCTTTTGCCTGGGAGAAACTCGCGGCCCCCATCGCAACAGAATCTGGACGAAATCGGGACCGCACGCGCAGCTGCTCGTCCAGATTTCGCCGGGATTCTGGAGAATCTGGACACCACTGCGCAGGCGAATCTGCTCCAGATTCTGGCGCAACTTTCTGGCGCCCCTGCAAGACGCGTTATGGAACGCCCTGCTTCTCCTTCGGCCGCGAACACTCGGGCTACACCTTCTCGGAGCGACCGTATGGAGCGTCGTAATGTTAACAACCCGGAGCACAACGTCGACGCGCTTCACCAAATGACCGAGCTTTTGGCGACGCTCCAGCGCAACCACGCCAACGGGAGGCTGGCTCATCCTGAGAACCTTCGCCCAGCAACACGCCATGTCGAGGCTCACGAGGCGGCCGCAGATGAGGAAGAAGGCGAGCGTGGCATTTTCGAGGAAATTAACGAAGGTAACAGCCCTCGCTCTCTTCCGCACAACCTCCCTCCGCACCCATCATCGGCGCTCATCCCAATTCCACCTGCACGCCCTCAATTGCGATCGGCTCTCGTTAAGAGCGACGGTGTTCGTACTCGAATGTTTGGCTTTGAAAGGATTCAAATTATCGCTCGTCACGCGTTAAGTGCCTTGCCTTCTGAGGGATGCGAGCAGGCGGCTCTCTACATAAAAGAGATTGAGCAAGAGGCCGAGGAAAAAAAAAAAATTTCTATTCACCGCTGCCCAACGCGGCTTTGATGTGGCCAATGTGGCCCTAAAGATTAAATATGGCGAGGTCGTGGAGGATAAGACGGTTGAACCCGCCGCTCAAATTGTGGCGGCGATGAAAAAGAGTCGCCCCGAACGTAACACCTCCTACCCCTAGCGGTACAACCAGAATAACCGCGGCAGGGGCAACGGCGACCGCTCTTGGAACAAGTGGCGCCGCGACGGGGACGGACGTTGCTTCATCTGTCGCGAGCTAGGCCACGGTTTTGCTCAATGCCCCCACCACAAGCAAGGAGCGAATCAGCTCGCGCGCATTGTTTGATCGTTTGCCTTCGCATCTCGAGAATGATTTATAAGATTTAAATGCATACTTTGTGGACATGGGAAATGTTTATTGGATGAAGTTTATAATATTCATAAAGAGAGAGAGTGAGAGAGAGAGAGAGAGGGAGAGAGAGAGAGAGAGAGAGAGAGAGAGAGAGAGAGAGAGAGATCGCTAGGGAGAGAGCGAGAAGAACAATAACATGGGGCTTGACATATTCATACCCCCTTCGCTAAAAAGGGTAGGCCAGGCCCGCGATATACGTATGCACCATTCGCATTGAATTCTTGTATTGATTTGCGGACACCCATCCCCCAGGCACACTAAATCGCTCCGTGTTCCACTACCAACCGAAGATCACATGCGCGGTCGATTACGAGGATGTGCAGCGTGGTGGTCCACGTGTTGCGACAGCAAGTTCATACTTTCCATTATCTCGCGCGATTATCAATTACCATGGGCGCACAATGAACCCACACCTCGGCGTGCACCTAACCACCCTGGCGTGGCCCAACATTATTTAGTTTGTGGTTGGTTTCTTTCTCCCAACCGAGCGGCAGAGTGAGAGAGAGAGAGAGAGAGGCATAGTCCTAGTCCTTAGCCTCTCCTTCTCCTTCCTCCCTAGTACTTAAGGCCTTGTTGCCTGCCTAGCTTCTCATTATTCAGTTTGTGGTTGGTTTCTTTCTCCCAACCGAGCGGCTCGCGCCGGCCGCCTTCGGCGGCCGACGCTCGAAAGCGCGGTCTTCGGCCGCGCGTGAGGGGACGGCAAGGGAGAAAGGGACAAGCAACTATAATTCAAGACATACACGCAATGGTATCACCTACACCTGCCTAGGACAACACACGGCAACAACATGGCGCAGGAAGAGGCGGACGCTACATCTGATCCGCGTCAAGGACGGCGAGAAGACCCGTCAGAGAGCGATGAAGCTCGCGCACCACCACAGTCTTTGCGCCGATCAAGTCGACTGCAGTCCTTGCGCGCAAAAACTGGCGCAGACCACGGACTGCCGTCCCAAGCTATACAACGCCCGCAACTCCACCCCGCGCGGGCGCAGCCAACACGGGCGCTAGGAGCTCGCCCAGCCGATCAGCGGCATCCAAGCACTCGTCCCGAGGGGGGCCATCCAGAGGAACACCCTGGGAGAGAGCCGCGTAACCATATACCTGAATCAGGTGAACAGCCCGCAGGCCCTCAGAGAGGCGCCACAACTGCCCCAGAGACGCTTCCGGCACCACGGCTGATGGAGATGGCGCCACCAGCGACTGTACCGGCAGCGCAGCAGCAAGAGGAGCAGGAGCCACGGGCAGTAGAGACGGATACTGCGCCGTCACCGGTCCTCCTGCCGCGGTCACGAACTCCATACCCGCCACAGGAGGAACCCACGGCAGGCGCATACGGTTCCCAGGAGCGGCAGCAGACGCAGCAGGAACACGAGGCGGAGGAACGGCTGATTGGGGAAAGGGAGGTGCAGGCGCATAAGGCGCAGCTGGCGGAAGGGACGCATGCGTTGGAGTGGCACGCGGCGAGTTGCTCTGGCTCGCCTGCCCGTTCCGCTCCTCGCGCACCGCAGCAGACACAGCACGCTGCAAATCAGCCATCGAGACCGGCCGATCATACGCCCAGTCCCCACCGCGACCGCGCCCACCCCACCAGCCACCGCGACCGCCGCGGGACGCAGCCCAGTTCGCCTGGGAACCCCGGCGGCGAGGAGAGTCGTGTCGCCGCCGCGACCTCTCTCGCTCGTCACGGAGCGCCGGCGAATGAGGTCGATGCTGCCGGTTGCCAGGAGACGGCGGGCGCTGTGCAGGCGGAGCAGCAGCGGACGACGCAGGAAGCCCCAGCGCGGCGGGACCCAGAGACTCCCCAGGGCCCGGGCCGCCAGTGGTGGCGGACAACGCCAGCGGCGACGAAGCAGCGACCAGAGCCGGCGCGACGGGGACTGCAGCGGGGGGCACAACGGGGGTTACGGGGACAGGAACCGGCGGATCGACAACAGTCGCGGCAGGAACAGACGCCGGCGGCTCAGCAGGAGGAGCCGGGGGAACAGCAGCAGCAGCTGGAGCGGACAGAGCAGCAACAGGCTCAGACTGGACAGGAGCAGTCACAGCAGCAGGAGCAGCGGCAGGCGGAGGCTCCACCACAACGAGAGGTGCGGGTTCGGGGAGACGAAGGGTTTCAGCGGCTGCTTTCGCGGGCGTCGGAGCAGGCGGTAGCGGGGGTTTTGTCGCCATGGTCACCGTTCCGCGCCCAGACAGGGGTTTTTCGGGCACAGTTGACGCAGCGGCAGCGCGCACTGGCGAACACTCGAGCGCTCGAGCAATTACCATCCCGGGGTCGAGGAGAACGCGGAAGAGGGCGCGTAGCCACAAGCGGAGCAGGAGGAGGACCGGAGAACGGATTCCAGGCGGCGGGACGAGCAGCTTTAAGGGCGCAAGAGGCAGCTAATGATCCTGACGAGAGAGTGGATCCTACTTATAGAGAGGAACCGCTGCCTCTAAGCGAGAGTGACGAGGAGGAAAACACAGACTCTGTGAGGCAAATGCCTGAGAGGCAAGATGCTGCTCGGGATGAGACGGGAGAGGCAGGAGGAGTGCCATCTGCTGATCGGACGGCTGTAATTCCAACCCCCAGGCAGAACACAACATCGAGGCGCATACAGAGTAATCGGGTCGCGAGCGGCCCTCCTGCAACACCAAACCTCCAACATTCCCCCCTTTACTACTCGCCAGGAGACTTAGCGAAGCGAGCAGACCTGTTCGCGGTGATCGCAAATTGGGACGTCGCAGCACTATGCGACAGTCGTCAGCCATCCCTGTCACGCCGATTACCGCCCAATCTGTGTCAGTTGTTTTCACTGGCGTTACTCACCCCACTCCTCCACCTTTCGCGAAACCCGGATTCGATCGCAGGCTGGCGACTCCTACTGTTTCTCCCGCGACTTACACTTCGCCAAGCTTCACCCAGACGACCGAAGTGGCCTGAGGTCAAGGCTCGGCTCCGATCCTTCCAGCGTGGCGAATGGGAACAGTTACATTCGGACGCGATCGAAGCAATCAACACCCCACCACCTCCACGTCACCAACCTGACGAGGCGGGCGTCCTAAGCAGGGCAGAGGGCCAGGCAAAGCGCGGAAGCCTACGCCGAGCCGTGCTGGCCCTCGAGTCAACCCCAGTCTGCACGCCTGGCCCCGCAATCCTGGACGAACTCCGCACAAAACACCCGCCAGCCGACAACACGGCGTTGACCTGGCCAACTGGCACGGGCCCGAACCTCCAAATCAGCCAAGCTGACTTCGTCAAAATTCTAGGCCGATGCGAAAATGGAGTTGGGGCGGGACCGTCTGGAACCACTTTCGAACACCTGCGCGACGCATCCGCAACCAACGCATCGGTCTGCACCCACCTACACGCCCTGGTCAACACGCTGCTGGGGGGAAAGTTACCGGAGCCAGTGGCAGACTTGCTGACAGCTTCGCGGCTTATCGCGCTGTCCAAACTGGGGGGCGGGGCCCGACCAATAGCAATCGGCGAATGCCTGACTCGCCTCGCAGCCAAGTCAGCTCTGACCGTAATTGGGGAGGCTGCACGTGACCACTTCCTGCCACTACAGTATGGGGTGGCGGTGCCAGGGGGAGCCGAGGCAAACATCCACGTCGCACGTTCCTTCGTTGACTTGCGAGACAGCTGCGTGGTGCTGCAGACAGACATCTCAAACGCGTTCAACAACATTTTGCGTCAGGCAATTATCGACGCGCTGCGGGACAACAGTCTCTCGCCACTACTCCCATTGGTCCGGCTCACGTATGGTAACCCTTCGAAGCTGTACCTTGACTCGAAATTTGCAAGCCCCCCGCTGAACAGTGAACGCGGTGTCAGGCAGGGAGACCCGCTCGGCCCCCTACTGTTTGCGGCAGGGATACACCCGGCTCTCCGGGAAACTGCTGAAGCACACCCCGAAGTGCTCTGCCTAGCATATGCGGATGACGTCACGTTTTTGGGCGACGAGGCGGGCACTGCTGCAGCCTTCACGTTTTTCACCGGCAAGCTGGCACAACTGGGGCTAGAACACAACCCACAGAAGTGTGCAGCCTGGAGCACGACCGGCGACGAGACTACGCAACGGCCGCCGGGGGTCCCGTTTTCCAAGGATGGGGTGCGCTTACTCGGCAGCTACCTAGGGCCGGCTGCTGGCGCCGCTAAATTTCTAGCAGGGCAACTGGAAGAGATGGCAAAACGCTGCCGCTCCTAGAACGAACCGACCCCCAAGTAGCCTCCCTGCTACTCACCCGCTGCATTTCCAGACGGGTAGCTTACCTCACTCGAACTACACCTCTAAACCTCCTCCCACGGGATACCTGGGCACAGTGGGGACGAGACCTCCTGGCCGCGCTCCTGACGTCGTGCGGAATTAGAGGCCCAACGAGTGGCGCGGAGCAGTCGAGAGTTTGGGCGCAGGCGTCGCTACCATCGTCCTTAGGCGGTATAGGCATCACGGACCCACTGGTAGAAGGCGTTTACGGATTCATAGCCAGCTTCACACAGGCGGCGCTATTCTTTTCTTCCCTCACGCTAGCACCGGACACTGCCTTAACACGAGCACACAGCCACATGATACTGCCCCAAGATGTCAACACCCCGCTTCATTCCTGGCTCACAGAATGCGAATCAGCTATGCCTTCCGACGCACGCGAAATACTCGATAAGGAGAGGCTCTCCCGCACGGATATTAAGCTCCAGCACACGCTAGCCCTTAAAGTCCAGGGTAGTAGGTACGCCGTGCAAGTCCAGGAAACGAGACGCATGAAGCCGAACCCGCTCTACGGCCACACACAGAGGATGTACTCACTTACCGGATACGGCACAGGGGACTGGTTGACGGTGGTCCCAGTAGCAACGTCACGACGCATAGCCCCGGTACATTTCGCAAATGCCGTGCGTTTCCGGCTGGGCCTCCCCTTCTCTACACCGAAAAACTGCGACTGCACGGAACAGACTGGTATCACGGACCCACGCCTCCCCAATCACCTCTTCCGTTGTGGGACGGGTAAACACCGCACTAATACCCACAACGAATTGCGGGACGCATGCATCAGCATGGCGCAAGACGCGGGGTTCATCGTCCACAGGGAGTCCAGTGTTTACTGCCCAATTGAGGAGCAGACGGCTGATTTTACTATGACAGACAGAAGCAGTGGGGCGGTCTGGGTGTGTGATGTGACAATCACGGACCCCATCAGTACTAGGGACCCAGAGGCACAGAAAGGCAGGGGATGGGCGGCCCGGGAGCAAGCGGACAAGAAAATAAAGCATTATGCGAACCGGCCAGAAACGGTGGGTTTCTTCCCACTGGCAGTAGAGACCTACGGCTGCCCTTGCGCCGAGGTTCCTGTGTTCCTGAAGCTCCTTGCAGACACGGCGGCTCGGCGATACTTCAACGCCGACTCAAAATCATTTCAAGCCGCGAAGTTCCTGCACCAGTTCAGGCAGAGGTGGTCGGTTGCACTGCAGAGGGCCCAATCCGTGGGCCTCATGATCAAACTAGGGGAGGCGGCTGCTGCAGAAAACCCGCCTGTAGGAGGGATAGGGCAGGAATTATACCTGGGGGACTGTTTTACTGTCCTGGAGCCTCTTCTTGAGCTGTAGGTGACTTAGAGGGATTGGCTAGCCTAGGCTCTTTTGCATATTAGCACCCTGCTGTTGCTCATTTTATGTGTGTACCCTTCTGGCTTATCAATATACGGACCATTAGACAGAGAGAGAGAGAGAGAGAGAGAGAGAGAGAGAGAGAGAGAGAGAGAGAGAGAGAGAGAGAGAGAGAGAGAGAGAGAGAGAGAGAGAGAGAGTTAGTCCCTGACTTGGATGCTCCTTGCTGGTCCCTGACTTGCTCCTTGCTGATTTTTTTCGCTCGTTCGAGAGAGCGAGAGAGAGAGAGAGAGGGTACTAGCCTCTGCCCTCTGCCCTTAGCCCTCTGCCCTCTCCTATCCTAGCTATATAAGGGGCCTCCTAGGCCTTTTTTCCTCATTATTCAGTTGGTGGCTGATTTTTTTTTCGCTCGCGCCGACCGCCTTCGGCGGCCGACGCTCGACAGCGCGGCCTTCGGCCGCGCGTGAGGGGACGGCAAGGGAAAGGCACAACAAGCATTAATAAAGAAGACATGCATACAAGCGGGGTCACCTACACACAGGCCTAGGTGAGACATGGAGCAGACAAGCGCGGAAGCTACAACAGATCCGCCACCCGCGGATCACGCGGCACCAAATACTACATCTGATCCGCATCAAGGACGGCAAGCAAGCCCGTCAACGAGCGATGAAGCTCGCGCACCACCACTGCGGTTGCGCCGATCAAGTCGACTGCAGTCCCTGCGCACAAAAACCGCCGCAGACCACGGACAGCCAACCCAAGCTGTCCAACGCCCGCTACTCCACCCCTCGCGGGCGCAGCCAACACGGGCGCCAGGAGCTCGGCAAGCTGATCAGCGGCATCTAGGCACTCGTCCCGAGGGCCGCCATCCAGAGCAACACCGCGGGAAAGAGCCGCGTGTCCATAAAGCTGGATCAAATGGACAACCCGCAAGCCCTCAGATAGGCACCACAGCTGCCCCAGAGTCGCCTCCGGAACCTGCGCCGTCCGAGGATGGAACGGCTGCGCAGCACAAGCAGCATGGGGAGCAGGATCAACGGGCAGAAGGGATGGATAAGGAGCGGGGAGAGCAGGAGGACGAGGGGCAACTGCCGGCGGTGCAGCCACAGGGGGTGCAAGAGGAGGAGGAGCGGCAGCTGCACGAGGGACCTGCTGGCTCGCCTGCGATGCCCTCTCCTCGCGCATCGCAGCAGTTACGACCCGTTGCAAGTCCGCCATCGTCACCGGCGCGTCAAACGCCCCGCCACGTCCACGACCGTGACCTCCTCGCCAGCCCCCCCCTCGCCCACCCCGGTACGAATGCCAGTTCCCGCCGGATTGGCGGCGACGAGGAGACTCCTCACGACGCCTTGAGGTCTCACGCTCGTCTCGCGAGGAGGGCGAGTGGGGACGTGACGGGCGGCGATCGGGAGATTGTGGGCGTGACGGCTGCCCGGACTGAACCCCCAGCGGCGCAGCAGGCGCCGACTGAACATCCCCAACAGACTCCACCGCCGGGGCAAGGCCGCCAGTGGTGGCGGACACCGCCGCCAGCGCCAGATCGGTGCCCAGAGCAGCAGGGGCAGCAGGGACGGCGGCAGCTGGTGGCGCAACGACAGCAGCGGAGGCCACGTGTTCCGGCTCTTGACGCGGGAGAGCGTGAGGGGCAACCACAGGGGCAGCGGGACCAGACTGAGTCGCGGCGGCAGCTGGGAGCGAATCAGCAGCAGGGGGAGCCGGGTTCGGGAGAACAGGGACCGCAGGTGCTGACGACGCGGGCTTCGGGGCAGGCGGCAATGGCGGTTTCATCGCAGCCGTCGCCGAGGCAGATACCGCCTGTGATTTTTTGATCACCACTGACGCAACGACAGCGCGCACTGGCGACAGCTCAGGACCTCCGGCAACCACCATCGCGCAGCGGAAGAGGACGCGGCCGCGGGAGACGGGCTGTAAGCGGCGTAGGCGGAGGACCGGAAAACGCGTTCCAAGCAGCGGGGCGAAGGGCTTTAACCACTCTCGATACTGATCCGGAAGAACGAGCAGACCCTTCTTATAGGGAGGAAGCACATGCGACGAGCAGCAGTAGTGAAGAGGAAAACGAGGAAGGGGAGAGAGATCAAACTGGGAGACGAAGCGGTGAAAATCAGAGGAACCCAGCGGTAGAGACGAGGAACAGACAGGAGCCGCAGGATGAGGATCGTACGGCCACATTTCCAACCCTACCACCCATCCAACTCCCAAGCCGCGGTCGTGCAAATCGAGCCGCAAGAGCGCAGCAGATTGCTGCCCAGCAGATAGAAAATGCTCGCTACTTCTCGCCAGAAGAGCTGGCGAGGCAGGCAGATAAATTCGCGGAAGTGGCGATGTGGGATGTTGGGGCACTCTGCGACAGTCGCCAACCCCCCCTGCTACGAAGACTCCCGCCAAATTTGTGCCAGCTTTTTTCGCTGGCACTGCTGACACCACTTTTACACCTCTCACGAAGCCCAGAGTCCGTCGCAGGTTGGCGGTTACTACTCTTCCTCCCCCGCCTCACACTTCGCCAGGGATCGCCGAAACGCCCCGATTGGTCCAAAATCAAAAGCCGGCTCCGCGCATTCCAACGAGGCGAATGGCAACAGCTATACCTGGACGCGGTGGAAGCAGTCAGAACGCCACCCCCGCCACGTCATCAGCCTGACGATACAGGCATCATCAGTAGGGCAGAAGGGTTGGCGAAAAAAGGAAGTCTGCGCCGGGCTGTGCTGGCGCTGGAGTCAACGCCAGTCTGCACACCTAGCCCGCAAATCCTGGACGAACTTCACCGCAAACACCCACCAGCCGACCCAGAGCCTCTGACCTGGCCACCCATTACCGAACCAACAACCCTGGAAATTCCGTACGCGGGTTTTACGAAGCTGCTCAGCCGATGCGAGAATGGCGTGGGGGCCGGCCCGAGCGGAACGACATTCGAACACCTACGCGACGCAGCAGTAACAAACGCATCCGTCACCACCCATCTACACGCCTTAGTGAACACAATTCTGAGAGGAAATCTGCCACCGCCCGTGGCGCAACTGCTCACATCATCGCGCCTGATAGCCTTGACCAAACCTGAAGGGGGGGCACGCCCGATTGCGATTGGTGAATGTCTGACCCGCCTAGCAGCAAAGGCGGCTCTGACTACCCTGGGAGAAGCGGCGCGGGGTCATTTCCTTCCGCTGCAGTTCGGCGTGGCTGTGCCTGGCGGAGCAGAGGCCATCATTCACACTGCGCGAGCATACACTGACGCACATCCCAACTGCCTCATTTTGCAAACCGATCTTTCCAACGCCTTCAACAGCATATCGAGACAAGCCATAGCGACATCGTTACAGGAACCGGCTCTTTCACCACTGCTACCCCTAGTGAAACTGACCTACGGCCAGCCGTCACTACTGTTCCTAGACGCTGGTTTCGATAGCACACCGCTAACAAGCGAACGAGGGGTCCGGCAAGGAGATCCCTTGGGCCCGCTCCTCTTTGCGGCAGGGATTCACCCTGCCTTACGAGCTACATCAACGGCACACCCTGGCGTGCTATGCCTTGCATACGCCGACGACGTCAGCTTTTTAGGTGACCCACGTGAGACCGCCGCTGCCTTTGCCCTCTTCACGAGCCAGTTAGCCCAAGTAGGCCTATCTCACAATCCAGGGAAATGCGTCGCATGGAGCAGAGAACCGATAGAAAGTACGGTGCAGCTGCCACCAGGGGTGCCGACAAGTGACAGAGGCGTCAGACTCCTCGGCAGTTTTCTAGGAACACCAGACGGCGCCGCCGCCTTCGTAACCGCCCAGCTACAGGCTATGTCCAAGCCGCTGCCCCTGATAGAACGAACGGACCCACAGGTAGCATCTCTCCTGCTCATGCGCTGCATCTCACGCCGAGTGGCGTATCTCACACGAACAACCCCACTGAATCTCCTAGACCACGACACCTGGTCACAATGGGGCAGGGACCTACTGGCCACTCTTCTAACAACGTGCGGCATTCGCTTTCCGACGGATAGCATAGAACAGACCCGGGTCTGGGAGCAGTCATCACTTCTGCCGTCGCTGGGCGGTATTGGACTCACAGACCCCACGGTGGAAGGAATGTTTGGCTTCCTAGCTAGTTTCACACAGGCGGCACTCCTCATTAGTTCCCTACCGCTGGAGACAGAAGAAGCCTTGACGGCGGCGAGAAACCACATGCTCTAGTCCGTTGAACGTGGTCGTACAACCGACAAAGAAGCGGCTCATCCTCGACCTGAGGCACGTGAATAGCTTTTACGTACATCTAAATTTCGCTACGAGGGACTCAATCGTATCCCTGACCTCGTTCAACAGGGTGACTGGCTATTCAGAATCGACCTCAAATCAGGATACCATCATGTCGACATTCACCCTAGCTTTTGGCGCTTTCTTGGGTTCTCTTTCCAAGGTGTGGAATATCAGTTTCTCTCGCTCCCCTTTGGACTCGCGACCGCGCCTTTCGTGTTCACTCAACTCATCAAGCAGCTTGCCAAACGGTGGAGAAGCCGAGGCATTCAAGTAATCCCTTACGTGGATGATATCCTTGTCATCAGCGCAACCCATACCAGCGCGCTGCGATCTCGTGACACTATTCTACAAGATTTGCGGCATGCCAGATTTCTTCTCAATTCGGAAAATTCCCAGCTGGAGCCAGTGTAACGCCTCAAGTTTCTTGGCCTACTCCTCGACACCAATGATCTGTCCTTCTCTACGACCCGCACGCCTTCTCGAAGAAATGCGCTTGACGTGTATGGAGGGCAACAGCGGACGTGTCGTCCCGGTTCGCCGTCTCGCGCACATTACAGGAATGCTGGCATCCATGTCGCTCGCGCTCGGCACTGTGGCCCGCGCGTTTTCCCATAATCTGCTGACACAAATAGCAGAATGCCCGTCTTGGGGTCACAGGGTTCTCCTCTCACCTAGCTCGGTGGACGAGCTCCGTTTTTGGATGGCGCAATTTGATGAGTTCGATGGCTCCCGATTTCATAACCCCCACACATACGAAGCGGTCATCTACGTCGATGCTAGTGACATCTCTTGGGGAGCCGTCCTTTCCGACCTCAAAACCGCTTTCCGCTCCGATGCCCCACGCCATGTCCGCTACCTCTAGCACGCTCCGCGAAATAACTGGCATCCTCTGGGCACTCACCTCCTTTGCCCCGTGCATCCGAGGCCAGCATGTCCAATTGCGAAGTGACAGCCAAGCTGCCTATTACATCATGCGAAAAGGGGGCTCTCGACGCCTCGAGATTACCCTTGTCTGCCGGGCCATCATTCAGCTCTGCGTCAGCTATAGCATCCGCCTGACGGTCCAATGGATTCCTCGCGAACTCAATACAGAGGCTGACAGCCTGTCCAAGGTCATCCACTAGGATGATTACTCGCTCCTTCCTCCTTGGTTTCGACTTGTCGATCGTCGATGGGGACCCCGTACAATCGACCTGTTCGCGACATCAACCAACCACCACATGCCTCGGTTTTGTACGCCTGCCTTCCATCCCTGGGCAGTGGCACATGATGCATTCTCCATCAGCTGGCACACGGAGAATGCTTACGCATTTCCCCCACCTTCATTGATCCCGGCGGTCATCACACACGCCCGACGTTCGCGTACTAAGCTGACACTCATTGTTCCCCACTGGCCTACTGCCTTTTGGTGGCCCATTTTATACCCGGACCTATGACGATTGCATTGCTGACTCTTGCAGAGTCTCGTCACAGTTGAGTTATTAAGCACCTTCGAATCGTTCACGGAGCCAGGCCATCCCGCCAGGAAATGCCACACCACCCCCTTACGAACAACCTAGTTGCTAGGTAAAAAAGGGTTGCAGCCCTTTAAAACGACATAGCGACAACACCAAAACGAGCTGCAGCACTTGAAGGCGCCCGAATATCTTGATTGAGATGGACAGAAATATTGAAAGTAGACCTACAACGTAAGCTAACATGGGTTGCAGCAAAAATGGTAGTAAGGACTTGCCACTCTACTATAGTTTTTCGTCTAGAAATAAATGCCTACGTAGTCGACTTTACTTAGATTTAGACAGCTTTAGACTAGTCTTCATAGGTAGCGGGAATAACAGGGGTCGCTGGAGTAGTAAGAGAAACGCAAGGGAGAGCAGTTGGGAGGACGACAGCAGTAGGGAGAAACGAGAGAGAAAAAGAAGCAACACAAACCCTAAGGTCGTGCTGACTCCGTTGTATCCACATTCCTTATCTTTAGAACGCTAAGATAGCAGGCATGTGGTAGTTGCAGTTGGTGAAATATTGGCTGGGAATCGAATGATTGCTGGTTCAAATCTTGCAATTGATATTCTTGAACATCTTTCAGACTGCATTGAGTAACACTTTCATATTGCTTACTACAATTTCTAGAAAAGAATTCATGGAGTTATGCAAAACGCTTTGCAACCCTAGGACGGCTTATCACCTCTTGTTTTTGGGTTGCGAAGCAACCTATTACAATCGTTATGTTCATTTTTTTTTTCATATTAAAAAATGAAAACATGAAAAAAAAAAACAATGAGAATTACTTCAATGACTACCTTACTATACCTTGTGGTACGTATGTGGCTGTGTGCTCCGTCTGTGTGTTCAATTTTTGCTTACTTTGTGGCTGTGTATCTTGTAATGCGTATATTAGTATGATGATTTTAAATAATGATTTCATAATGCATGAATATGATGCGTAGTAGAATGCATATTAGTATGGTACATGTTAATGCAGTACGTATGCCAGTAAATGATAGAAATGCGTGATAGTTATAAGACCTAAACAACGAGGCTACCGCATCCCCTGCCTAGCATGGGGGGGAAGTCAATAGCCTAGCATTTAAGTCATACAACTAACTAGCATCTGTGTATCCTAAAAAAATGACC